AACCAGCGACCCGAGCTCCACCAGGCACATCGCCTGGTACGTCTGGAGCATGGTGACAAATCATAGATGTCCAGGCTGATGTCCAGCACGTCATCGTCTTCCTGGAAAGCGTGCTGGGAAGCATGCTCCTGCATGGTTCTGGCTTGTCTTTGACTAACCCCTCAACGCATTCCATGTGGTAAGCCCAGCAAACTGCGGGGACATCGACCAGGCTTCAGGCTCCGTCTACGCTCTCCTAGCGCGGACGATCCCCAGACAGAGCAGGCATCATGCTGGCTGTTGTGCAAAGAGAAACCGCATCCCTGAGGACAGGGGTGAACAGAAGATTTCTGCTTTGCTCGCTTCGGTTTGGAGTCCATTCCAAAACGCAAAGCAAACCGCTGCCCAGGAAAACTCAAAATTACCGCTCGAACGCACCAACTGCGCGGTGGACGCTAAAACCAACAGGGTTAAGCTAAGTTCAAGTCAGTGGTCAATGGTCAATGGTAACTTTATTGTCCTTAACGGGAAATTGATTTGCAGTATGTCCATACAGAAATATAAAAAACAAACAAACACATCACATACACACAAAAAAATAATATTTATTTGTGTGTATGTGTGTATTTTTTTTATCATCAAAAAAGTGCAACGTGCAATGGCAACAACACTTATGGTTTAGTGTTATTAACCATGATAATAGCAGTAGGTACAAAAGACAATCTATGTCTCTTTGTCTTCACTGCAGGCAAGTTTAAAATCAAGTTTAAACTGGTTAAGAACTTTATCAACTAAAAGATGTGGCTGGATAGTATTAAAAGCTGAAGAAAAATCAATAAATAAGAGCCAAGCATGAGTTTTGGCACCAACAAGATGGCGATAAAGGAAATTCAACAGAGTAACCACTGCATCATCAACACCTCTACGAGACCTGTATGCAAATTGTAGTGGGTCGATAAGCTTTTCTACTTGCTGCAGGATCTTCCTGACAAGTTTTTTAAAGCACTTCATCACTAAAGATGTTAAAGCGACAGGCCTACAATCATTTAATGATGTAGGTTTTGTGGTCTTAGCAACTGGAGAAATAATTGCTTTTTTCCATACCTCTGGAACCTTCTGTTGCTGAAGTGATAAAATGTATAGCATGTTCTAAGCACCTGGGCACATATATTATCAGGACCTGGACTTTTATTAGTCTTACTCATTTTAAAAGATTTTCCACCCTTTTATCATCAAAGAACAAAGCTGGGAGGGTTCTGGTGCTCTCTTTTAAGAAATCCACTGTGTTTCTAAAATTATAATTATCATTAAATCTCAAATAAAATCTATTCAGCTCATTGGCTAACCGAGAGTCTGAACTAAAACCAGGGAGACTTATCTTATTACAGTCACTGTAACAGTGACCAGTCATGTGTTTCATGCCTGCCCAGGCAACCCTTATGTTATTGCTACCCATCTCTGCCTCTACCTTATCCTTGTATTTTATTTTGTCTTTTTTAATTTCTGATCTGATCTCCTTCCTAATTTCTCTAACTTTCAAGATATTCCCTTCAATAAAAGCTTTTTTCCTTTCATGAATCAGCCTCATAAGAGCTTTTGAAGACCATGGTTTGTTATTAGGGAAAAAATGCACAACCTTTGAAGGGATAATCATGTCTCTGCAAAAGGAGATATAGCTGCAGACAACATCAGTGAGTTCATTAATGTCTCTACATGATTCTGTAAACACCGACCAGTCTGTACAGTCAAAGCAGCCCTGTAGGGTTAAAGAGGCATCACCACTCCAAACCTTTATGTGGTGTTTCCTCACCTTCTCAGCACAGTCTTATAAACTGGCAGGAGATGCACTGTGTTGTGATCCGAGGATCCAAGGGCGGGGCCAGCCACAGATGTGTACGCACCTTTTATGGAACCGTAACATAGATCCAGAGTCTTATTGAAGCGTGTGGGACAGTTCACATACTGATAAAAACTGCTCAGTGTTTTCTTCACGTTGCAGCGATTCAATTCCCCAAAAACAATATTAGGGGCCTCAGGAGAGAGAGATTGTAGTGAGTGGATGACGTTGGAGATGGTGTCAGTCGTATTCTTAGGATTCGCTTTAGGGTGGATGTAAATGACAGTGACGTTGATCTGTGGGAATTCCCTCAGCAGATAAAACGGCCTCAAAGACACAGAGAGGAGCTCAATGTCAGACAGACACACTTGTTTACGAACTGTAACGTTTTTACACCATTTCTTATTTATATACAAACATACCCCTCTTCCATTTTTCCACTTATTTACTAATCTTATCTGAACTATGACAAATATACAGGCAAAGTGTTTGCTTTTGCCTGTATAGCTGTCATAGCTTCATCATTCTCATCATTCTCTTAGGGCATCTCCTAATCAGAAGATTGGTGGTTTGATCCCTGGCTACTCCAGTCTGTATGCCAAGTATCCTAAGATATCCATGATACTAATCCCAAGCTGCTCTCCGATGTGTGTGAATGTTAGATAGGACAAAAAGTGAGGAAAGTTGTGTAAAGCACGTTAAGTGCTCAGATAGAGTAGAAACGCAGAACCAGTCCATTTATAGCTTTGTAGCTACCCTGACATTTAATACTGGATACCATACTCTCTTTTAATGGAATTCATCCTTTTAACCACTGATCAGACTTCAAGAATTTCTGTCTCCCTTTGCATTTGTAATAATTCTTGTGACCTTTTATTTTGAGTAAGATTTATTTAAAAAAAAAAAAAAAAGTTATTTCAGCTTTTAATTGCTTTTAATTACTTTGTACCCAGGTGGACAAAGGAATGTGATAATCTTCTTTTTGCTCTCACTTCAATTCAATTCAATTGACTTCCTTCTTTATAGTCAGCTTGCTGCTTGTAGAACACCATTATAAACATTCATATCAACTATGTTGCATTTCCTGGCCACTAAAAAGCCCGAGTGTCCCCCATCTGCAGAAATGAAACACCACTTCTGCGCACCCCCTGTATCATACTCCTCTACACTCAGTTCGATCTCAGTTATTACAGGATGGTGGTTACTGATCTGAGATCCCTGTGTTGGTTTTGTTCTGCCATTATTATAATAACGTTGGTCCAGGATTGATGGGATGTCATGGCTTTGCAATGTGAGGAAATTTTTTAAAAAGATAAAAGAGCATTTGTTTCTGTAAAACTGTTAAGCATTTTGGGTATTTCTTTATTAATTTATGCAGCATCTTAAATATGCTATCAAGCTGTTAGCCAAATTTCCATTATTCATGTTGGTTTACTAGTGGGGTTTTTTTTTGCTAATGCTAACTGGATGCTCAGACAATTTCACAGGTCAGTTGTTCCCCTCCTCAGTTGTGTCCTTCAACATAAATACACCCTCAGTAGAGAGTGTATTTTACTCACAATACACACTCTGCTGAGAGACGCCTACCTCAGGCTGTTCAGATCTGGGTGTTTACCGTAACATCTCAGGGCCCAGATGGGGTTTTTTTTCTCCTCATCTAGCCATAGACTGCAGTGCTCAGCAGTCCCTCAAATTTCCCTGAGGGTGTTTAGGAAGTGTGTCTGTGGTTGTAGTGATGAAACCCAGCAGTCACCATCCACTGGGCAAACTGCTGCTCTCCAGATTTCCTGTTCTGCCTTCAGCTCGGTATATCGCAGCCTCTTCCTCTCACTGACGTCTTCCTTTGATACTGTAGTAGTAGTACAGAGAGAGGTGGACCAAAGTACCAGACTGGTCTTACGATGAATAGAAATGTACTACTTTGGCACTTTTGTTTCTGGTCCAGGTTTCAATTATGATATTTTGTCATATTTGTCATATTTTGTTACTTTTACCAAAGTAAATGCAATCGTACATTTACACTAATCAAAATTCAAGACAAAGTGATGTATTTCCTTGAATTTTTTAATTCAAAAAACATACACAGCACAGGGTATTGACTATAAATTACTACCCAGGTGTATGCAAAGTCACCTACCACTGGGACACAAACTTAAACACAAGAGCAGCAGGTTTAAGTCAGAGAAATATCACAAACTAACCACCTATTACTAGTTTTAATTCACTTTTTGCATAAATAAATACATTTCTTAAAATATGGGAACCATACATATTCCCTTGTGAGTAATTTCAAAAGTTCATCTTTATTATTTTTTTCTCCAATGTCTGTTGCGGGGCTCCGTATTTCCGGACTATACTACCTCTGTCTGAACTGTTTTCTTCTAAACTGGGGCACTGTGCCCCCACCCAGTGTTTCCAACTTAGCGACTTTGTCGCTATATTTAGCGAGTTTTCAGACCCCTTAGTGACGTGAAAAAACGTGAAAGCGCGTATTGCTTTTACTCTCAACAAGCAGTGGGTGCTGTAACGCAGTCAGTTCTTCTTTTACTCTTATGCTGTTTTGTGGATCACAATGTTTAAAACTACTTATAAACACACACACAAAGTAACTCCACCAGAGTGCCTATTTCGGGTCACTTTTGCCGGTCCAAGCCCGGGTAAAGGAGCAGGGTTGGAATTGTGACATTAAAAAAAACAATAATTGCTAAAAGAAATTTAATTTGTAGTTCTAAATAAACTCTAAATGTATTTAGGACGTTTTTTACTCACTTTATGTCTCTTCCACGATGTTATTTCGCTCTCCAACAACATAGGTTACAATTAGATTAGCATGACCAATTATGCAAATTAGGCGATGACGTCAGTTAGCGACTTCTAGCGACTTTTAGGACAACCAATAGCGATTTTCCTTACTGAGGAGTTGGCAACACTGCCCCCACCACACTTCCATCCCATCATCGGTTTCTCCGTCTTTCTGGCCCTGTCCCACTACATCCCGGAAATCGGAATACGCCCTAGTTCAATAATTCTGATTTAATCAAAAAACGCACCATGAATTCATGTCGTCGTGCTCCAGATTAAGTTTAAAGTCGGATTCCAGTTTTTTTCCTCTCGGAATTTTAATTTGAAATGGTCCCTCAATAGAGATTTGCACCTCGCAAACGTCGGAGCAGCTTCACAATCCCAGAGTTAACCATTCAGAACACTGATAGCTTTTCAGCATGAACGCCCACACTAAACGAAGAGCAACGTTTAAGCTAACTTTCACTACAGAATTTTAAAGGGTTACTCTTATTTAAAAAATAATTGCTTCAGCCGCTATATAAGGCAGCATGTTAGCCTGTGATATCATGGTTTCTGTGTTCCTCGTATTTGGTAAGTCAAACAGCAGCTCCATGTTTGCAGCACGTCTTTTATGTAAAGCTAACCTTAGCTTAGCTTGTAGCCTGTGTGGAGGATGCTTATCACTGCGTCCTAATCCTGTGCTTGCCTGCAGCATGTCGCGCTGCCTCCGTGGTTTCTGCGGTGTCTTGTCACACAAAGGAGTATGCAACAAGGGATGGGCAGTGCTGCCCGATGTGCCAAGAAGGTACGATAAGAAAACATTTCTAGAAGTAAACCCGCCCACATTATGTGAGTTCCCACTGTGAGAACAAAGAGTAAATAAAGAGCCGTCTATCTTATTTGATGTTACAGCTGCTTCTTTTATCTCACAGTTCTTTAAGTTAATAAACCAGAAAATCTGCTGACTCTTTTTTTTTTAAATCATTTTTTCCCCTGAAACTGTCAACTAACCTTCATTAATAGTTAGAATTGACACAGTTCAGATAATAGCTTTCAGGAAACATCACAAGTATTGTAAATAAATTGTAACTTTGTCTGAGGGGGCAGCACACAAACAAGTTATTAAGTTGCACGTTCAGATGAGATAAACCTTTTTTTCATACCTTCCGTCCACCTCGACTCAGTTCATCTTACACATACTGAAACGTCATTTCATATGATCAGATGTGTTGAGCATGTGCCTCTACAGCACTGCTGGCACAGGGTGAAGTAATGCAAGGCTTTGTGGCACACTATAACCATTTCAAATGTACCAGAGCTGTAGAGGTTTAAAAACAACTTGATCCCCATATTCACAGTTCAATTCACATGTTATTTATATAGCGCCAAATCACAACTACAGTCGCCTCAAGGCAGTTTATACTGTAAGGTAGACCCTACAGTAATACACACAAGAGACACCCAATGACCTCTTTTGGTATTGTCACATCTTGAAACTGCTACTGTGTGAAAAATAATGATGCACACAAGGATTGTACAGTTCTAAACAAGGCAATTTCTTATACCCATCTATTAGTACCTGAAAAAAGTTGATTCTTTTCATCTGCACGTACATTTGAATCAGTGATATAACATTTCTCTATCTATCAACAATTAGTTCTTCATAATGCCCAAAAGATGACTAGGTAAGCTACTAGTCTGTGTTATCTTGTTGTTGTAATAATTATGTGAAATATGCAGATGGTTCACAGAGCAGAGGCTCCTCCACTATCAGAAAAAGTTGTAAGTGGTGCATACTATTATCTGCTCCACAGCACTCATCCACACAGGCTTGTATTTTGCAATAATTGCGCACACCAATTGTTCTTGAAATATAAAAAATTTAGTAATATATAGTAGGAGTACAGAGGAAACTATTATATTCTGGCAGTTATTTTGCCAGTACCAGCTGGTGGTTGCTTAGTAACTTTACACAGTCTATTGTGGTGTTTAAAGTTTTCTAAAATGTGTGTCTAAAAAGATTCACCCCAGATTTAATACACTGTGCATTCACTGTGCGTTTGTGTTCTTGACCTTTAATGTGGCTTTAATGTTCACATAAATGTTGTGCTGTGTTGAACAGGTACAGTTGTTCAGAGAGACTGCACAGCATATTCAGGAACTCGGTGCCGTTCCTGTGACCTGGGGACTTTCATGAACCAACTCAATGGTCTATCTAACTGTTTCCCCTGCACTACCTGTGATACAGGTACAGATGGAAACTTCTTAGTCAAATTTTAATTTAAAAAATAAAAAGGTTTTCAAATTCCACCGATATTTTTTTTTTTTAGGTCATGGTCTCTTTGTCAAGCGGAACTGTACAGCAAAAACTGACACAGTGTGTGACGTTTTAAATGGATATTACTGCAAAGGTTTGATCGACAGTAATGGATGTAGTTTGGCAGAGAAACATTCACAGTGTGAAGCTGGTCAGAAGATAAAAGAATCTGGTAAGAAAAGTTTTTTAGATGAGCTGATAAAGTAGGATTTTATTTTGTGTAACAACGAATGTGTTTCTTTCAGGAACCAGCAGAAGTGACACAGTGTGTGAAGACTGTCAGCCAGGCTTCTTTTCCAAGGACGGTGTGAAGTGCACTGCTTGGAAAACGTAGGTCATAATTTATAACAAAATCACTCTAAGTTTATTTTATTTTCAGTTATTGATCATCAATTTCTTAATGGAATCTCTCATATACTTCGCACTAGGGCTGTGCCACATCATATCATCTGCAATAATATCGGTATTACACTATACACTGTGTGTCGTTATAGCAAGAATATGTGTTTGTATCCTAGTGTTTATGACAAGGAGTCAAAACCATGCATGTCTGAATGTAAGAGCAGTGTGCAACTAAAAATGGAGCTACTTCAGCAGCTTCCAGTGAACACAGGAGAAAACATGCAGGAAAACTGTTTGGAAAAAAGTGAAAACAACAAACTGGTAGAAGAGGGTAAAAACACACCGTTGAGTAGAACGAGACACATGGGACATGAGCAGTCACTCGCTGCACTCGCTAGTTATCCTCTATATAACAGGAGGAGCAAACAGTGGATGGAAATTAGTGATGCAGTTACATGATGGAAAAGCAGAACTTTAAGCATACACTTTAAGCATAGACTGACCAAGGCAGAAAATATTTTTTATGTTTCTATTTTTTAATATTAATATATGACAATATTGTGCAGCTCCTAACATTTTACAAGAGTAAGGTCATTTAGTTATTGTCAAAGTCAAGTTTTAAAATTTATTTTATACTTTGACTTGAAAATTCCAGGGAAAATACTACCTAGGCTACTTTTGTGCTTACATTTTCTTTCATTAGATTCACATTTCAGTTTAAGTAGTCTGACATTGGTGAGACTAGCTCTCTGGAAAAGAAGGATGCTTCATCTACTTACAGTTATTAATGCTGCTGCCTGTGAGCATTTAAAAAACATACAGTATTTTTTTCTATATCTTCATATCTCAGTTGTCATATATTACTCACCTCCACACAGGACTTTGGGAATTGCCCTCCTTTAGCAACCTGAGGACCAGTGATTCAGCTGATTGAACAGAAAATTAGCCAACTTTTATTTTAAAAATGTTGTAATGGTACAAGAAAAACTTTGAATTTGTTTAAAATAAAGTGACAGATGACAGCACAGTTGAGGCATCAGTTAATCCTGATGGCCACATTCAAACACATAAACATGAGCTCTGCTTTATCACAAACATCTTGTTTTTAGACAAGACACAAGATGCTTGTCAGCAGGAATACTAACTGGAGCCCATATAGAATGCACTTTACAGATATTAATACACTGTTACATTTTTATGTCAGGCTCATAAAATAAAATAATAATTAACTTAGAACTTAAAAGTTAGAACTACTGATGTAATATTCAGACTTGCAAAATTACTTCAGTTTTTCATCAACATTTGACAGGATATCAAAATATTATAACAATTTACATAAAATTATTATCTTGGAAATTCTCTATGGTCCTGCTCCTTCACGTGGATTAATTTGGATTTTCTTTCTCTTTCACCTCTTCTTTTACAACAGTTGCTCAAACCAACAGATAAAGGTCAAAGGAAGCTCGACCAGTGACGTTGTCTGTGGGAGAACATCAAGTCAACATTACTTTGTGTTTTTACCTTTTTTGCTTTGCTCAGTAGCATTTACTAGCCTTGTGACAGGTTAGTGCACAGGGCTCGCAAAATCGCTAGCCCGACGTCCCGGGGCTAGTGATGTTTCCAGTCGGGCTACCAAAATCTATCTCAGCTCTGCCCGTCGGGCTATCATAGGAAGTAAAAATATATGACAATGCCTTTGCTTTCTTTCGCTAATTAGCTGAGTCCTCATCAAAGAACAGTGCTCTTTAATGAATGCAGCACATAACTTTACATCGTAGAGGTAACAGGGAGACATATCGAGTTATCAGATAGCCGTCTTAACTATATTCTAACTCTACAATTTCCCGACTGCACTTTCCTCTTATTTCACGACACCACCCTCTAGTGGTGCAATATGGTATAGTCAGACAGGACACAACATCACTCACTAGCTTACTCTTCAAACGTGGCACGTGAAATCTCCCGCAGCAAGCTTAAACGTGCTAGAGGTTGACTGCGCAGAGAATTTAAAAAAAAAATCTCTGGCATGTGTAAAGACAGATGGATTTACGCAGGTATTTTAGTTCTGCTGAGCCAAAAAAGACAGGTCAGGATGAAGAAGGGACAGGCAAAGAAAGGCCTACCACAAAGCGGAAAAGTTATGATAAATCAGATTACGAGGCAAAAGAAAGCGCAGTTTTTTGGATTCATGGACAAAAGAATTTCTGTGGCTGGAATATGACAAGGTAAATAACATGATGTTCTGCCTGGTGTGTCGTGAGTTTCCCTCTATTGCTGAGTCGACAAGCGCCTTTGTTACTGGGACCAGTAATTTTAGGAAAGACCCCATCAGAACTCATGAGAAATCTCTGCATCACAAGAAATGCATTGGTGCTCAGTCTGCAGCATCTGTCCCAGAACAAACACCAATTGCAAAAACCATACTAAAAATAAACCAAGCACAACAAGAAGTCCTGAAAAAGCTGTTTAGAACTGCGTACTATGTTGCAAAGAGTGAACTACCACTGGCAAAATTTAGCAGTCTTTGCAAACTTCAGAAAGCAAATGGCCTAGATCTTGGTTCCACTTACCTCAATGACCATGCTTGCAGAGAGTTTATTGGAGCAATAGCACAAACTTCAAGAGACCAGATTGAAAAGGAAATTCAAGAAAGCAGGTTCTTATCCATTCTTGCAGATTGGCAGTACAGACACTGGTATAATAGAACAGGAGTTGGTTCACGTCAGGTATGTGAGGGATAATGGTGACATAGCCACATACATGATCAAATGTCAGCCAGTCAAGAGTGCAAATGCTGCAGGTATTTTAGAGGCTATTGATGAAACAGTGAACACCATGGGTATCAGAGAGGACACATGGAAAAAGAAAGTAGTGTGTGCAAATTTTGATGGTGCTGCAGTGATGATAGGTGAGAAAACAGGAGTAGCTGGGAGACTGAAACAGAGGATACCCCACATCATAACAATCCACTGTGTGGCACACAAACTAGAGCTAGCCGTGCTGGATAGCGTGAAAGGCTGTGAGTACCTGGTGAAATTTGAAGATACACTGAAAACCATCTTTAAGATCTACTACTATTCCCCAAAGAAGCGAAGAGAGCTGACAGAAATAAGTGAACTGCTAAATGAGAGGCTGGCACATTTCAGTGGGCTGAAGAGCACACGGTGGCTTCCAAGCCGGCTGAGATGTCTAAAGGCTGTGGAAAAAAATTACACTCCCACTGTTGTTCATATGGAGAACATGGCAGAAGGAAGTGATGTCAAAGCCGAGGATGCAGCCAAGGCTAAGGGGGTGGTGCAGGAGATGAAGACTGAGAAATTTGTTCGCTTCCTGCATTTCATGTTGGACTACAGTACCATCTTATCCAAGTGCTCTACTGATTTTCAGCATGATAACCTAAACATCACACAAACAAATCAGTTAGTTGAGAGCACAACATCACGCTTACTCAGCCTAAAAACAAAACCAGGAGAATATCAGAAAACCTTGGACACAAAGTTCACAGCGAACCAGGATGGTAGCATTTGCTACTGTGGAACTCAGCAAACAAAAAGTCAGCGACCTGCTAGAAGAGGTGAGGGAACAGACAAAGACACCTTTGGTGCAGAGATCCAGAAGATTATTGACAACACAGTCAAGTACATGGACAACAGATTTAAAAATCTCCATGAAAAACCTCTCTCTTGTTTCAAGGTTTTTGACCCTTCCACTCTTCCCTACCCCAGAGAAGAACTAGCAAATTATGGGGATGAAGAGGTGGATTATCTTGTCACACATTTTGCCTGTTTGCTAGATGCAGAAGAGAAAGGGAAAATTCCACAAGAATGGATGGATCTAAAAGTGTGGCTTGGAGAACGCCGGGGTCGCAAAGTAGATTGCTTGTACAGAGATCTCCTCTCTGAGAATCCAGAACATCTCTCTCATATCTTGTTGCTGGTGAAATTAATGCTGACACTTAGTCCATCGACAGCCATCTGTGAGAGAGGATTTTCTTGCATGAACCGAGTGAAGACAACACATCGTACCTCTCTACACCCTGAAACACTGAATGACTGCATGCAACTCTCCATTAATGGGGAAACAGTTGAATCTTTTTGCCCTGACAAGTCGATTCGTTTCTGGATGTTTTCTGGAAAAGGTTCAAGACACCTGGATCATAAAACCCCGACAAGAACAAAGAGCAGTGAAATGGAGGGCAATGCACAGGAAGAGAAAGCTGATGAAGGAGATGCTATGCCCTCAACGTCGAGTGGCATTTTCTCATCCGAGACTTCAGTGGAAATTTCAGATTCAGGATCTGACACAGACTAATTCATGTTCTACACAGTTCTAACAAGTTCACAGAAAATTCTGTTTAATTAGAACCAGATATTTGAGTTGATTGTAATGTTTACACAGTTGTTGTAATTTGTGTTTTAACAATTTTTTGATTGATGTTTTGTTTCCTTTACAATATTATACAATAAAAATTATCTTTTTTTATTCGGGCTACTCAAATTTATTTCAGGCTACCAAAAACTAAAGAGTGCCTGCCCAAAGGGCTACCAGGGATTTTAAAATTTTGCGAGCCCTGGTGCATCGTCTGCATTGTGTTGATTTTTCAGTTTAAAGCCTTAACAACACAGTGTTGCCTTTTTATTATTGCTTAGGGTTTTTTTTCCTGCTGTAACACTAATTTTCTTTGTGTACCAATAAAGCAAAGAAGAAGAAGGAAGGGAAAAAAATGACTTTTTAAAAAGAAAATTGAACTCACTAAACATTAGCAGTTTATTTATATCATTAATAGACTTTTAGCTGGGAAGGCCAGAAGACCCAGCATTGACAACTGAACAGGTGCTTTTGGATCACGGTGTTGTTCCAAAAGGTGATTTCTGGTGTTTCTGTATGTTTTTTGTTTTGTTTTTAATGCGTAATGTCTTTGCTTGTATTGGTAAGTAGTTGCAATTTCTGCCTCTTGGCCCAACATCTCTTTAAAAAGACTTTTTTTAATGTCTATGAGGCTTTTTAACTGAATCCATGAAGCACATATAAAAGTCACTTTGTCATAAACTGATTGCAGCTTCTACCTTGTGGGAAAAAATGTTGTTTGTAATTCAGAATAACTCGATATCATTCATAACAGAAACGTTTGACATACTTTTCACACATTTTAGGCCAACAGGTCATTTATGACGGTTTAAATGGGGGCAATCACTTTTTGGAAAATACTGGAAATCACTTTTCTGGCACCACAGCTAATTATAGAAAACATGTGTCCAAAGTCAGATATTCACTAAAAGTGTAATTTAGTCACAAAGGACTTAGATGTAGAGTATCACATTAAACATTGCAGAAATGTAATGTATCCTCTGTACTGTGTGTGCTGAGGGGCTTTGGTCTGAAGGAGTTCATGTACAGCAACATCAGATAAAGTCTGTGGAGGGACTTTACTGAATCTGAAGGTGTCCACTGCATGAAGACACAGAAACACAGGAGCTGTAAACCAGGACACATGAGTCAGAGCGGTTGATTTTCTTGCTACAAGACAAAGTACTAAAATGAGCGTAATATGTAATATAAATATAAATAATATACAATTCTGTTCAGTCTTGTATAAAGTTTTTAAAATCAAACTAACAGATTTGATGGCTGTTATGATGTATTTGGTTGATGCTGAAACTGTGGAACATACCTTAATTAATGTTTCATAAACTCTGAATATGGTGTTAATTTGAAGTAAAATGGTAACTAACTAGTGACCTGCTGGTTCACTTTTCATTCACGGCCCTTTAAGTCACAGCTTACAGGCAAACAGCTCAAAGCAAACCTGATGAAAAGAAGCAAAGACTGTGGGAGAAGCAGTTGGAAAAGAAGAACTGCAATAAGAGTAAAAGTTACAGTGAAAACAAGCTGGATGAAATAATCTGTTGGCCAAGTTCAGTGTTCTGTCCAATAGAAGCTGATTCGCCTTCTGTGGTTTGATTTTAACCTGAAGCTGCACTCGCTCATTCTTTCACAGCTTAAGAAAAACAAAGAAATGTTTTTAGATGTTTCAGACTTTTTTTTATATCAGAATGAAATAATGACTCAGATGAGGTCATAACAGACACTCCTTCAGATGACCTGTAAGTATAAAACTGTGTATATTTGTGGTTTTGCAGGAACAGCCTCCACAGACAGTGGATGCTCTGACTGCAGCAGTGGAACATTAACACCTTGTCACTCACGCACTAAGTAAGTGACACTTCAGAGCAGACATGGACACGTGATTTCTTCCAGTGCAACAACTTTTTCATTTTCCCCCCTCTGTACCTTCCAGATGTGAGTCACTAAACCACATGATAACTCCAGGGCTTATGCTCAATGTTGGAAACAAAGGGGAAAAAATTGTTACCATCACTGGCTGTGTGGTGGTTTTAGTTATGATTGCCATAGCTGTAGTGATTTTAATTATTGTCATTTTTAAAAGATGTATCTATGTGAGGATGTCAAAGATCACTGATATCATGATTTAGATTATATTTCCTGTCAAGTAATAACTTTTTTAGACAAAAATAAAACTCAAAACAATATAGGAAATGAAAGTATTTATATTTTTTTATTTTATTTCTGAGAAGGAAAGAAAAGAAAATGAAGCACTGAATGGGTCAAAGGAGCAGACAAGACAACAGTGAAATGTTCACTGTGGACTCTGATCTTTTTTAAAAAGCAGCTAAAAACTCAACTTTTTAAACTTGTATTTGGGTAAAGTTTTGTTTTAATGTCTTAGAATTTTGTAATGAAGCACTTTGCGATATTTAGAGACGATCAGATTTTTACTGCAGCATTATGGAACAAAGAATAGCAGTTTCTAATGTTTTTATCTTTCATATACAGATTTTCCTTGGAACTGGTTGTGGATGTTTGTGTAGATGAAAGTTCATAGTCAACACGTTCTCAGTCCCAAAGCGTAACATTTTACGTTGCCATAGTTATCCTTGTAATGTATTTATGGGGAATATTTCATAAAAAAGGTTGACTGCACAGAGACAATAAAGAAAACCTTCAACAAACTTGTGTAAAGCAGACTGTAGTTCTTCAGATTCATGGACACTAAAAAGTTTGCATCTTTTTATAAAGTTAAGGAGCCAACATGTTAGTTGGTATCACAGACAGCTGGTTTTATTTTATTTCCTGCACTCTCACATCTCCAGTTTCACAGCCTTGCACTTCCGGCCTTCTCGGTCTTCGAATGACCCGGCCCACGTAGACCGCGAAGGGCGGTGTCTGTCAGGGATACCTACTTTGGCACGACACCAGGTCCTGCAAGGATGCGGTTGAGGGTTTGGGACACAGCTATTAGGTCCTACGATTTCCTTCAAGCCCTCTCCCCCTTTTTTGTCTTTGTCTAAACGAAGTTGATCACCATCTGCCCTCAAACGTCATAAAATGGCTTGTTTTCGGTTTCTGTTTTAAGCCACGAAAACCGTTGATGCTCATTCTTTCCAACAATGAATAGATTTCCTGTTTACACCCACATCAAAACCCAAAAGCGATCATTGCTGTTAGATTTATATAGAAGTTTGGTGAAATAGAGCCTACAAATGTGTTATAAGGCAGCGTGTTAGGATGTGATATCATGGTTTCTGCGTTGTTTGTCTGGTTTCTGGTGTTTGTGTATGTATGTGTAATGTCTTTGTTTATATTGGAAGGTAGACTGCAGTCAAAACGATTTATCAGTTGTATATAAAATAAAGAAATTACCTGTTTTGCAAATATCTTTATGACTGCATTATTGTACCCAAATTATAATCAGTCTGGTTGTTGCCCACTTAAATGTCTAAAATACTATTATGTTATATTTGTTGCAATTTCTATTAGCCTCGTGATCCAACGTCTCTTTAAAAAGACATTTTTAATGTTTATGAGGTTTTTTAATTGGATCCATAAAGCCAGCATGGTTGATTCTCTTATATAAGACATACCAGAGTACCAGATTGATACAAACATGTAATGTAATTATAAATATTCATAAATCATATACAATTCTGTTCAGTCTTGTATAAAGTTTTTAAAATCAAACTAACAGATTTGATGGCTGCTATGATGTATTTGGTTGATGCTGAAACTGTGGAACATACCTTAATTAATGTTTCACAAACTCTGAATATTGTGTTAATTTGAAGTAAAATTGTAACTAACTAGTGACCTGCTGGTTCACTTTTCATTCACGGCCCTTTAAGTCACAGCTTACAGGCAAACAGCTCAAAGCAAACCTGATGTAAAGAAGCAAAGACTGTGGGAGAAGCATTTGGAAAAGAAGAACTGCAATAAGAGTAAAAGTTACAGTGAAAACAAGCTGGATGAAATAATCTGTTGGCCAAGTTCAGTGTTCTGTCCAATGGAAGCTGATTCGCCTTCTGTGTGTGATTTTAACCTGAAGCTGCACTCGGCCATTAAAGAGTGATTAAATTTGGAATCTAAAAGCAATGTGAGGATGACAAAGAACACCGACATCATGATTTATATTTTCTGTCAATAACTTTTTCTCAGACAAAAATGGAACTCAAAACAACACAGGAAATGACATTTTTTATATGTCTTTTTTTATTTCTGTGAAGGAAGGAAAAGAAACAGAGGTACTGAATGGGTCAAGGGAGCAGGTAAGACAACAGTGAGGTGTTTGTTGTGGAAAAAAAAGCAGCTAAAAACTCAACTTTTTAAACTTGCTTTTGGGTAAATTTGTGTTTTAATTTCTTAGTATCTGTCACAGATTATTAGGCAGAGGACTCACTCGCAGGTCTCTTAAGTTTAGAGAGAAGGTGAAGGATTTATTTACAATGAGGCACCAAGTGAGGATATATTCATATATACAGTGAGACAGATAACACGGGACTCCAGGGGGGTGGAGGGGGGTCCGAAGGAGAGGGAAGGTCCAAGGAAGGCGCACACACGCTCCTCTTCTACTGAATCCACAACTCACTCAGATAGTCCGATCCAGAATGCTCATGCTCACTCACACACATCCACAGGAATCCAGACAGCAGGGAATCCAGAAGGCCTGTACACAGAGGGAAACAATGTTAGGAGGAAGCTCTAGGACATAGGTGTCAAACTCTGGCCCGCGGGCCAAATTTGGCCCACAGCCTAATTACATTTGGCCCGCGAAGCCATACCAGATTACTATTAGAGCTGGCCTGCTGGTATTATACAGCTAATATATATATGTTTTTATCTTTGCTATACACATTTTCTGTGGAATTCGTTGTAGATGTTTGTGTAGATACAAGTTCATATTTATCTTTGTAATGTATTTATGGGGAATATTTCATAAACAGGTTGACTGCACAGAGACAATAAAGAAAACCTTCAACAAACTTGTGTACAGCAGACGTACAGTAGTTCATCAGATTCACGGACACGTTTTCTAAAAAGTTTACATCATTTTAAAAAGTTAACACGTTAGTTGGTATTACAGACAGCTGGTTTTATTTCATTTCTTGCATCCTCACATTTCCAAGATTCAGTGTAAGTGAAGCACTGCCGTGTTGATCATTATGAGGTCACAAATTATTTGAGTCTACATACAAAGAAGATTAATCAAATGGTAGAGGAGACTGTGAGGATGGAGACAGGGAGACATCAGGATGTCCTGAAAGATAACGTAGCTGTTGAAACTGCTGGTTTTCTCCAATCACTGCTTTGTACTGATGCTGCTTAATAATACCAGTGAAGAGGTGACTGTCAATTCTATATAAAGACTCTCACTTGTTTTTTGTTTGTTTGTTTTTACTTGTCTTATCTATTTATACTTGAAGTAATGACAGTACTGAACTGTTTTATACTTCTTGTGCTCTTTTATCCAATCCATCACTGGATTTTCAACTCTTTGCAGTGAATACACCACGACGTCTCATCATCTGGCGATTACGTTTCACCAAACTAATCCCTCTTAAATAATTCCTCTTAAAACCTAAATATTATTAATTAATGGTAACCATCTACGTGGCTATAAATTATTTACTTTTTATTTCACAGTGGCAAATACGAATCCAGGTACAGGTTCAAATAAAAATCCCAGCTTCATTATTCATTAGTAAAATCTTCGGCTACGAATACTTCCGCGATCCTCAGTCTGTCTCGTGTTACTCGTAAATATTCATCGGGTTCAGGAGTAAAACAATCGCTGGAATGTGTACAAATTAAACATTAAATCCTACGATTCCCTTCATCTTCCTTCAAACTCTCTCTGTTTTATTGTCTCTGTCTAAACGAAGATGAGCCTTGTAAAAGATAAGTAAAATATCTTCAGTTTGTCGACAAAAGTCACGAGAATCGTCAGTGTGGGATGGACTTTGGCTCTTTGTTCCCCAAGTTTTCTTCCTGTTACGCCCACATCACAACCGAAAGTGTAACGCATTTTAGCTGTTTCTGTTAGATTTGTATAGTACATTAGTGAAATAAAGCCTATAAATGTATTACAGAGCAGCGTGTTAGGATGTGATATCATGCTGTCTGTGTTACTTATCTTCGGTAAGTACAGCAACATTTTCGTGTATACGACACAGCCTTTAGCTTAAGCTAACCCTTAGCTTAGGTTGTGTGCTAACCGAGCTATTTGTCTGTCCATCCATCCATCTTCATCCGCTTTATCCGAGGCCGGGTCGCGGGGGCAGCAGCCTAAGCAAAGAGGCCCAGACCTCCCTCTCCCCAGCCACCTCCTCCAGCTCATCCGGGGGACTACCAAGGCGTTCCCAGGCCAGCCGAGAGATATAATCTCTCCAGCGTGTCCTGGGTCTGCCCCGGGGCCTCCTCCCGGTGGGACATGCCTGAAACACCTCACCCAGGAGGCGCCCAAGGGGCATCCTTGTCAGATGCCCGAACCACCTCAGCTGGCTCCTTTCGATTTGTCTGTCCCAGGATATTAATATTCTTGTGTTTTCCTGTAGGATATGCCGCCGTCTTCATGGTGCCCGTGTTATCGTGTCAACCAAAGGAATATAAAACAAATGGTGGACAGTGCTGCCCGACGTGCAACAAAGGTAGGAAGAAAAGCGATGACTGCAAATGTGCACAAACCTCCAAAGCAGGTACTTTATAGAAGAAGGAACCCCCCCTCCCTGAAAAGTAAATGAGTTTTACTAAAATCGCTGAGCTTGACCAGAGGCGGAGCCAGACATTTGAAACACCCGGGACTTAGCCCTAAAGGGTAGTATGCATGTGGGATTTTTTTTTTTTTTTGGGGGGGGGGGGGGGGGGGGGTTAGAAATGACTGAAAGATTAATTGGCTCTGTTTTGAGTTTTGTTCAAAGAAGAATGACTTCATATAGGGAAAAGTATATATCACATATGCAGGACACCTTAAACTAGTTTTTTAATTAAGCAGGAAGGCAGAACAAAGTCGGGGCTGTATCAAGACACGAGGAGTAAACCCCAATTCAACCAGACCCAGAACTGATCCGGAATTAAAACAGGACTACAACAGTTCAAAATCAGGACTACTGAGGACTTAACCAAGACAGAACCAGAATCAGAACTAGATGATAGTAGCACTAAAAATCATCATAGACCTGCACTACACTTATTTTTTTAATTCTGCCAAAGTCCACTATTTAGATTGAGAAAAGTTTATGTAATTATTTAGCCTTGTTGTGCAAACAAGCCTGCATAACTTAATAAATGTAGAATTTGAAAAATAGCAAACCTAAAAAGAAACATTAGGTACAAGATACATGAGTACCTATGATACGGTGATACTTTTGGTAAACAACCATTTGACTAACATGTGTGTCTCACCTGCTCTTGTTCCACCTCTGTTCTGTCCTCATTCTCCATCTCCCTCTCTGTGCCTCGCTCTCCCTCCTTGTGCTGACAATCATCAAATATACAGTTGAAACCAGATATTTACACACTCTTCAGATAAAAACACAAACACTTTTTAATTGTAACATCAAATCAGACTAAATTTTTATTTTTTTAGATTGATAGATATATTATTTATCAATAATAGGCACTTGTTGATTCACTTGAACAGCAAGTAATGTAATATGGGTCAAGTGATCAGTTTGATATCAATCTTTCGTGATACACCGTCATATTTTCATTATTTGTACAGTACGAATGATTTGCTTTGATACCTGGTCAAACTTAAGCTCTCCTTAGTATGCCTGGCTCCGTTTCTCCAACAGCGCACTCACAGGCAGCAGCTGCCCCGCCCTCTCGCTCAGTCGCTTAGTGCCTGAGCTCGGATCATACCAATATCAGGGGGGGATTCACGCACAGTCGTAAATTCCCACAGTGTGCACTATGTGCTTCGAATATTGTGTGTACTTTTTGTTTTATACAGTTGTCAGCCAGGCATCTAACTATGAAAAAATTACACTCCAAAAGACCCCGGGCTTCTGACAAAACAACCCGGGCTTAAGCCCAGTAAGCCACCCCCACGCTCCACCCCTGAGCTCGACTAAAATATAGGTATTTTTTAGTTGTTAATTATCTGACCAGTCGCTGTGATTTTGATGACAGAGATTTGCTGCTTCATTTTGCTCTGCTCTGCTTACTGAGAAACCTATCAATGGGTCATTTATATACTAACAGTGATTGGATGTTTAGCTGGGGTGAGGGGGGTTTTCTGCTGAGTTTTGTGTGAGCCTGTGCAAAACGGGAGCACGAAGGGAAAGAGTGAACAAGAGGTGAAACCATGACATTTGTGCCTTGTCCAGTGCATTTTTCAGATGCTGTAGTAAATCTTGTCCATATTCAGTTTGTGGGTAATCTATTTTTTTTCTTTCTCAGTTTCTGAAAGTTTGATTTAATGGGGCAGGACCTTTGTTTAAGGGGGCGTTGCCCCCTCTTGCCCCAGTGTCGAGCAGCCCCGTCTATTATTAGATATTTTATGTTGCATTCAGGTAATTAATATTGACTTCCTGCATCTCAGTTAAATTTAAAAGAAGAAATATGTGTTTTATTATTTTTATTATTATTTATCACAAGCAGTAAAATGAAGCACAAGTTGCATCACCAGCAATGGGAGACAATATATGTAAAGGCAAGAAGTCGGTAGTGACCAAGAAACCTATGAAGTACATTCCATGGTTCTTAAAACAATTAAGAAGGATTTACATGTAAATGTGTTAATAATGTCTGTTTAAACATGATTATTTTCATGTTACTTGAAATAAAATATCTCCCTCGGCTGTTACTGCAGCTTCTGCATAAGTGTCCATTTCACGCTTTGGAGAGGTAAAGCATGAAAGGGACACAGTGGACCGATGTGTCTGTTACACGTTTTGCTGTGATACTGGATCAGGAAACTGGGCCACATTGAATTTGTAGATCTGTAATGTTGTAGCTGCTTGACTTACTGTATATAACACCCAACACTACAACTGCACAACTGTAGATTCACTCTGTGTTAAATGCTAAAAGTCTGACATAAATGTTGTGTTCTGTTGAACAGGTACAGTTGTTCAGAGAGACTGCACAGCATTTTCAGGAACTCAGTGCCGTTCTTGTGAGATGGGGACCTTTATGAACCAACCCAACGGCCTGTATAACTGTTTCCCCTGCACTGCCTGTGACACAGGTACAGTCAGATGAGAAATCCTTTGTCAAATTTAGATTGAAAAAAAATAAAGCTTTCATTTAAAAGTAAATTACAGAAACATCATTTTACACTAATGTTTTTTGTTTTGTTTTTTTAGGTCATGGTCTCTTTGTCAAGCAGAACTGTACAGCAACAACTGACACAGTGTGTGACGTTTTAAATGGATATTACTGCAAAGGTTTGACAGACAGTAACAGATGTAGTTTGGCAGAGAAACATTCACAGTGTGAAGCTGGTCAGAGGATAAAAGAACCTGGTAAGAAAATTTAAAGTCTAAGACCATTTTTAAGATGAGCTGATAAACTGTGATTTTAAGTTTTTTGTTTTTTTTTCTGGATTGTGTGTAACAACGAATGTGTTTCTTTCAGGAACCAGCAGAAGTGACACAGTGTGTGAAGACTGTCAGCCAGGCTTTTTTTCCAAGGACGGTGTGAACTGCACAGGTTGGAAAACGTAGGTCATAATTTATATTCAAATCCCTCTAAAGGTGTATTATATATTCAGCTATTGATCATCAATGTCTTAATGGAATCTCCAATATCCTGGGCTGTGTCACATCACATTGCCTGCAGTAATACCAACATAAATTTCCATGTGATTTAGTGTCATACCAGAATATCATTGCTATAGCAACACCATGTGGGCATGTTCTCTTGTTTGTATATACAGTCGTATATTATCAATTACAGTGGGGCAAAAAAGTATTTAGTCAGCCACCGATTGTGCAAGTTCCCCCACTTAAAATGATGACAGAGGTCAGTAATTTGCACCAGAGGTACACTTCAACTGTGAGAAACAGAATGTGAAAAAAGCTTGGTGTGAAAAAATCCACTGTGGGAGCAATCATCAGAAAATGGAAGACATACAAGACCACTGATAGTCTCCCTCGATCTGGGGCTCCACGCAAGATCTCATCCCGTGGGGTCAAAATGATCATGAGAACGGTGAGCAAAGATCCCAGAACCACACGGGGGACCTGGTGAATGACCTGCAGAGAGCTGGGACCAAAGTAACAAAGGTCACCATCAGTAACACACTACAACGGCAGGGAATCAAATCCCGCAGTGCCAGACGTGTTCCGCTGCTGAAGCCAGTGCATGTCCAGGCCCGTCTGAAGTTTGCCAGAGAGCACATGGATGATACAGCAGAGGATTGGGAGAATGTCATGTGGTCAGATGAAACCAAAGTAGAACTTTTTGGTATAAACTCAACTCGTCGTGTTTGGAGGAAGAAGAATACTGAGTTGCATCCCAAGAACACCATACCTACTGTGAAGCATGGGGGCGGAAACATCATGCTATGGGGCTGTTTTTCTGCCAAGGGGACAGGACGACTGATCCGTGTTAAGGACAGAATGAATGGGGCCATGTATCGTGAGATTTTGAGCCAAAACCTCCTTCCATCAGTGAGAACTTTGAAGATGAAACGAGGCTGGGTCTTCCAACATGACAATGATCCAAAACACACCGCCCGGGCAACAAAGGAGTGGCTCCGTAAGAAGCATTTGAAAGTCCTGGAGTGGCCTAGCCAGTCTCCAGACCTCAACCCCATAGAAAATCTGTGGTGGGAGTTGAAAGTCCGTGTTGCTCGGCGACAGCCCCAAAACATCACTGCTCTCAAGAAGATCTGCATGGAGGAATGGGCCAAAATACCAGCTACTGTGTGTGCAAACCTGGTAAAGACCTATAGTAAACGTTTGACCTCTGTTATTGCCAACAAAGGTTATGTTACAAAGTATTGAGTTGTATTTTTGTTATTGACCAAATACTTATTTTCCACCCTGATTTACGAATAAATTCTTTACAAATCCTACCATGTGGATTCATGGATGTTTTTTTCACATTCTGTCTCTCACAGTTGAAGTGTACCTCTGGTGCAAATTACTGACCTCTGTCATCATTTTAAGTGGGGGAACTTGCACAATCGGTGGCTGACTAAATACTTTTTTGCCCCACTGTATTAATTACCAATAATAATGTGGTGTCTCAGTAACTATGTACTGATGATAATCATGATTTTAATAATATAATATCTATAGTGTGAAAGTCACATAGTGACAAATAATTGTCTAATTATTTGTTTTACACAGTCTTGCTACATTTAGTTTAATTATTTTGCCACAAAGACAAAATAAAGGTTTAAAAAACTTTGACTGTTGACCTGTGTTTCTATAGATATTGCAATAATGATTATTTACGTGATTGGTGTGAAAATTGAATTATGACATGCCAATAAAATGTTAGTAAAATGATGAGTACTGGGTAATCGCAGATAGAGTACTGGGTAGTTACAGGTAACTAGATATTAAAGTGGAACCAGCTACATTCCAGGACATGTTTGTCCTGCATATCTGAGCCACAGACAGACGACAGGACAGTTAAACAGTTAATATTGATGGTCACATTGTTACAAAGATCTTTACAGTGCAAACACAAATAAACACTGATAATAATGATTTATTTATATTTTATTTCTTTTTTGCCACAGTTGCTCTGAGAGCCAGATTAAAGTTGAAGAAGGAAGCTCAACCAGTGACGTTGTCTGTGGAAGCGCATCAAGACATCGTTATGTTTTTATTTCATCTGTTGTGCTTTTCCTAATAATAGTAATTTGCCTTGTGACAAACAGGATTTGTGAAAGCAAGGTAAGTGCCATCTAACCAGTGTCAAATCTGCTCCCTCTGCACAGCACCTACAGTCACTAACATGTTAATAACTCTGTTTTTTCAGGAAACCAGATAAGAGCAGAAAATAATTGCTCGGGGACTACCGATGATGCCTGAGAAAGCGGACCTCATGTTCGCCATCTCTCCTCCATTTTGCTAGCAGGATTGATGTCCTGACATCGATGATGGCTTCACCTGGTTCGGGACTCACTGTCCAACGTGCCACTTACACAGATGTGCACAGCTGTTTAATCAAAGTGATGCTGCAGTCATATGTTGAGGGTGCTGACCAGCCATCACCAATTTCTCTGCTCGATGCTCGCTCCACAAACCACTTATTCTAAATGATCTCTTCATCAAGGAGTCTCCAGACTTCATGCTCCTGACTGAGACATCACAGCAGGACATGGATCATGTTTATTTTGAGGAGATCTGCACAGCTGGCATTTCCGTCATTGTAACTGGGTGTCTTTGGGGATGTGGCAGAGGACTTTCTGCTGTGTACCAGTGTTCCCTTATTATCACAATAAGGGCACACCTTCGCTCACAATAAAAGAAAGAAAAACCAAAGTTCACAGAGGGTAAGTTCTCACACACATACACACAAAGGCCCGCTGCCCAAAGGAGGTGTGGCAGTTTAGGATGGCAGCCTATATGCCGTGGCTGACGAGCTGGAACACACCTCAGCTGCGGCTCATGAGGCAGACCTGCAACACAAGAAAAAAGGAGAAAAACAACTCTTCGACAGAGGGAGAGCCACTAGAGGTCAGCGACCGTAACAACCAGCACAGACTCACATGCAGGCTGATGAAGTCAGACTCTATTTCTTCATTTAAGTTACAGATGATTAGGGTCGGTTCTTTGAAAACCTTTTATTGTATTTCAGTCTACCGACCTCCTGGTGTTGCCAGAGCATTTTCAGCTGAATTCGGCGACCTTTCATCATTTATCATTACATTGGGGAAGGTTGTAATACTGAGATATTTTAACCTTCATATCGATGGATCCTGTAACTCAGCTGCTGAGTCTTTGAACTTTAAGCACCATGTTTCTGGCTCCACACATATAAAAGGCCACACGCTGGATCTTGGGTCTTTCTCCCTGGGTTTAAAAACAAACGATGTATGTGTGAAAAATGTACATGTGACAGACCACAGCTGTATATTTTTTAGTCTGTCATTTGTTCTGGATCCTTCACTTCAGAAATTGATGATTCAAAGGTGGATTATAAATCACAATCCTGCTGAGAGGGTCCCTGCCTTTTTTGATGCCAACATTACTCATAGTGAAGTTCACACATTTATTTTGTCCTTTAACAATGAATGTAGGTCTACTTTTGACCCACTAAAAGAAAGAATTGTCCAATATTCAAGTTTTTGTACTTGGAAAAATGAACATATTTATTATTTTAGGAGGTATTTGTACAAGTTGGAACATTTGTGGAAGGCGTCCAAGCTCCAGCTTCATGAGTTACATGTTAAAGAATCAGTTTCATCAAAAAATGCCAGAATAGACTATTTTTCACATCTTATTACTTCAGAAAAGAAAACTACAATTAACAATTTTTTCTCTCACAATCTTCCTCACATACCAGTGTTTTTAAAGTCTGAGTGCATTAAGTTTTTGCACTGTTTTATAATTAAGCTAATGATAAACAGGCTTAAGGACAAGTTTGGGTTTACTGGTGATGTTTTAATATGGCTCATGTCATATCTATCTGGGAGATCTTTTAGTGTTTTTATGAATTCAGTTATCTCTGAAACAACAGTTGTTCCTTCTGGGATACCTCAGGGGTCTGTTTTGGGTCAGATTCCTTGTCTGCTTCATGTGCTCCCTCTGGACCGAAATATTAGAACTCATTCATGCTGTGCAGATTCTGCTAACCGTTTAAAAGAGCAGCAGAACACATTTTTGTTCAAAGCTTGGTATTTTATGTTGTATTATATCTTTATGATATGTTATCCTTTTCTTTCTTGTATAATTGTGAGGCAGTTTATTTGTAAAAAGTTACAAAATGTAAATAAATTTTACTTACTCTCCTCTCTACTACACACGATACTGTGTCCTTGTTTTACAAGAAGAATTGAAGAAGATCAACTGTAAAGTACTAACATAAGTAAGGTATTAGTTTTCAGACTCCTTCAAATTTACAGTTCAGATTAAAGAAAACTTGTAATGACTTTGTCTAATCCCAAACTTCTTCCTTGCTTTGCTTACTGTGCATTTAAAAATCAGCCTTTATGATGACTTTAGAGGACGTGGAGGTGTCAGTCCATCTGTTTTTTTTTTTTTTTTGTTTGTTTGTTTTTTGCTGTTCTGTTTGTTTTGAAGCCCTGACACAAGATACATGATTTCCTGCACATGCCTCACGCTAACTACATGTATTATACTGTGGAGTCCAAGTGTTCAGAGATATTTATGGTGAACTACATCAAGACTTCACCATTAATTTTAGGTCCTTTTTATTCTTCTCGAGAAAGCACCTCATTGGTCCCGTATTCATTTTACAACAAGACGAGCTCAAATATAAACATAAGAGTCACAAACAACTACAACCACAATTCCATACAAGATGTTCAAAATATAAATAAAAACAATGCAATGATGCTTACCTGTTGCTATGTAACCTGATGAGATGCAAAATGTTCCTCCAGCTGTTTCTGTTTGTTGCTACTTATTTCTTCAGCCTTCTGTTGCGCTAATCGCAATGTTTTTCAGAGCTCTTGTTGTCATTGAAATTTTTTTTCTTAAAATATATATAAAATATGGGTTTATGAGATACAAAAATAGTGTATTTAACATTCATAGTTCAAAACAGTAGTCATATAATGTATGAGCACTGTTTCTGAACTATAAAAGCTGAATTTATAACCAAATTAACAGTTTATCTGTGTTCTGTTGCTTCTCGTTGGTCATCACTGCCCTGCCTCTCCTGCTCTTGGCTGTGGGAGCTCTGTCTGGTGCCTCCATCTTCCCCCTGCTGGGGTGGAGGCACAGTTGTGATAGCGATGTGTGGCCTTGGGTTTTCAGCACTCATGGGGGACCCCAGATGGCCAGAGTCTCCTGGTTCTTTCTTCTCTGCCTCTGGCTCTCCCTGTTTTCTCTTTCAGGCACTGCTTATAAGTGTGCTTTGCTACAGATGCAGCAATTGGAGACCAGCATGTCTGCTTGTTTCATCCCCCACCCCACTTCTTTTCTCTTTCTTTCTCTCCCTTTTTTTTTGTCTGTTCCTCTTTTTCCTTCTATCTTTTGCCAACCTGGCCTTCTCCTCCTGTCTGCTCCAGCATAATATCCACACAGATAATATAAAAATAATGAATAAATACAATAAAAATATTAATAAAAGGAGCCTACGGAGAGTCCATAGTGCTTCTCTTGGAAAAGCGAATGTGTTTTGCACAACAAAGCAATCAGATCATGATTCTACAAACTACAAGTGTTTCATATGGCAGGTGTTTAAAAAAGATAATGTGCTGATCTGAATTTCCTTTAATACAAATACAACCAATAATTATAAATCATATAACAAACATAAATGCACCTATATTAGCCCAGTTTTTTCATATTTCACAAATGTTTGATTTTTTAGTGTAATCATGAACCTTAAAAAACCCCACACGCATCAATGCAACAGATTAAAAAAAGAAATCACTGAAACACTGAAAATGTTGCAGCTTCAATCCTCTTCCTCGGTCATCTCCATGGATACATCATGTTTGTTACCTGTGGGCAGAGTTAAGAAATCAGGATGGAGAACTGAAGTGGATGATTGGTGTATGTGTTGAAATCTAGATAAGAGAGTGTACCTCATTTCCTGCTGCAGCAGATCAACAGCAGCAGGATGGTAGAGATGAAGTATGGACAGAAAACCAGCAGGTGGCAGAAGAGTCTTAGTACAGACACAGAGGGTGAACGAGGACGAAGAGAGGAAGAGGCCGAAGGCTCAGTATTACCCGAGGGTGAGTGTGAGGGTGAAGGAGTGTACATTATGGTTGTGTGAGGGGGAGGAGGAGGCTCTGCAAGAGACATGATGAAGATGGTTCAGTTTATTATCAGGTCAGCAGTTTAGTTTATGCTTGTGAATGAATGCTTTTCTTATTTTAAGTTTCTCACTTCCTGGAGTAAAGAGAGAGAGGGATTAGTTTTAGATTTTTTTTGCCCCCGACTCATATCTTTAAAGCAGGAGTGATGTCGCTGCTCTGACCTTTGACCTTCAGCCTGCTTTGAGGAGACTGATGAATAAGAGTAGAACACGAGTAGAGCCCTTCATCAGACTGCTGCACATTATGGAGAATCCATTTTCCTTCAGGTCCATGTCCAAGTTTGTCTTTATCTCTGAAGAAATAAGATTTTTTTGCTGAACCATTTCTGGGTTTGCAGAGCAGAGTGACATTACTTCCTGTGTTCACTGGAAGCGCTGGGATCTCCAGGATCAACTGTTTTTCTGACCAGCAGAGACAAACAGAGTCATTTAGAGACAGAGGTCCACAAAGCAGAGTCATACAGAGACAGCAAGACAGATGGGAACAGATCGCTTTCTGTACCTGAAACAGCGATGAAGACTTCATCGCTCTTCTGTCCAGATGAGTTTTCACACCAGAAACTTCCACCAGATGAGACGGAGAGATCCAGAACACAGAAGGAATTATTAAACCTTCTAAAGTCTGCAGCTGTACTACAGCCCTCAGTGGATACTCCTCTGGTCCTCTTTACTCTCCATCCATCAGCTGTCTGACCATCATCGACACAACTCAGGGAGACATAACGGTCTCCTTTGAAGAACTGCTGATGGTTTGGGCTGACATACAGAGAGACTGGAGGACAGACAGAAACACAGACGGACTAAATGTATTTGTATTGTTGGTCGAGTGAATAATTTCACTTCCATAAACTCACCGGCAGAAACAGTCGGTGCAGACAGCAGCAGCACACACACACCTGCAACATGAAGACAGTCAATAAAGGTCAAAGGTCAGAGAGAGAGGAGTCTAAGTAAATTTTAGTAGTTATTCAAATTGCTGTGGGTAATAATACAGCTGTGGGATGACTATTCAATTCAGTTACATTTTATTTATATAATACCAAAACAGTCACCTACTGACAGAGAAAACCCCAACGATCATGGTGAGGTTTTCTTCTCGAGTCATCTTTTATCCCCTCGCTTATTTATTCATTAGTTATTATTACTCTCTGGCTCCTCCACAGCATGTCTTTGGTCCCGTCTCCTTCCCCACATTTGCTCATAGACGGTCATCTGATGTTTTCTCAGTATAATTGAAGAACCTTCATCTTACAATGTAAAGCACCTTGATTCTTGTGTTTTGGAGCTGTATACATTAGATTTTATTGAACTGTATTGACATTTAGTTATAATTTCACAAGAATACACTTTGCTGGCACAGTTAAGCCCTGATAACCTGATAATCTTTTACTCATCTTCATTTAAGCATGCATCTTCTAGAAGGGAAGACGAGGCCGGTGTGTCCCTCTCCAAATCTTCACTCCTTTGTCTGTGAAACACAGTTTTGTAGGGTCGACCCTATCATAAAACCCCCCACAGTGTGCTGCAAACTCTGTCTGTGTCTATGTGCACGAGCACATGAATGCCTACATGTGCGCGTTCCCGCGTGTCTATGTGAGTGCTCGTGTGTGACTGTGTACGCATACCTGTGCGTATGTGTGAGTGCACATGAGTGAGTGTGCGTGTGGATGTGTGTGCGTGACAGTTAAAACACTGTGGGTGTAGGTGACTCCCTAGGTCATAAAACCCATCTCCCTTCCAGACCACAGTTATCCAGTTACAAATGTTGAGACCCCCACCCAAACATCCTCTGGGGAATTTCCACTCAGCATTAACTCCTCTCTGTTTTACTCTCACAGTTCAAGTGGGGGAGGGGTCTCCTACAATCTACTCCTAAGTTCACAACACAGTGAGGCCTTTATTATATTGAGGGCAGTGTCAGTGTCTCTACAATAGTTCTATGATAACACATTTCTAAACTCTAAAATAAGCTAAACACTCCTACACTGCACAGAGACAATAAAGAAAACCTTCAACAAACTTGTGTACAGCAGACGTACAGTAGTTCATCAGATTCACGGACACGTTTTCTAAAAAGTTTACATAATTTTAAAAAGTTAACACGTTAGTTGGTACCACAGACAGCTGGTTTTATTTCATTTCTTGCATCCTCACATTTCCAAGATTCAGTGTAAGTGAAGCACTGCCGTGTTTATCATTATGAGGTCACAAATTATTTGAGTCTACATACAAAGAAGATTAATCAAATGGTAGAGGAGACTGTGAGGATGGAGACAGGGAGACATCAGGATGTGCTGAAAGATAACGTAGCTGTTGAAACTGCTGGTTTTCTCCCATCACTGCTTTGTACTGATGCTGCTTAATAATACCAGTGAAGAGGTGACTGTCAATTCTATATAAAGACTCTCACTTGTTTTTTGTTTGTTTGTTTGTTTTTACTTGTCTTATCTATTTATACTTGAAGTAATGATAGTACTGAACTGTTTTATACTTCTTGTGCTCTTTTATCCAATTCATCACTGGATTTTCAACTCTTTGCAGTGAATACACCACGACGTCTCATCATCTGGCGATTACGTTTCACCAAACTAATCCCTCTTAAATAATTCCTCTTAAAACCTAAATATTATTAATTAATGGTAACCATCTACGTGGCTATAAATTATTTACTTTTTATTTCACAGTGGCAAATACGAATCCAGGTACAGGTTCAAATAAAAATCTCAGCTTCATTATTCATTAGTAAAATCTTCGGCTACGAATACTTCCGCGATCCTCAGTCTGTCTCGTGTTACTCGTAAATATTCATCGGGTTCAGGAGTAAAACAATCGCTGGAATGTGTACAAATTAAACATTAAATCCTACGATTTCCTTCAAACTCTCTCTGTTTTATTGTCTCTGTCTAAACGAAGATGAGCCTTGTAAAAGATAAGTAAAATATCTTCAGTTTGTCGACAAACGTCACGAGAATCGTCAGTGTGGGATGGACTTTGGCTCTTTGTTCCCCAAGTTTTCTTCCTGTTACGCCCACATCACAACCGAAAGTGTAACGCATTTTAGCGGTTTCTGTTAGATTTGTATAGTACATTAGTGAAATAAAGCCTATAAATGTATTGCAGAGCAGCGTGTTAGGATGTGATATCATGCTGTCTGCGTTACTTATCTTCGGTAAGTACTGCAACATTTTCGTGTATACGACACAGCCTTTAGCTTAAGCTAACCCTTAGCTTAGGTTGTGTGCTAACCGAGCTATTTGTCTGTCCATCCATCCATCTTCATCCGCTTTATCCGAGGCCGGGTCGCGGGGGCAGCAGCCTAAGCAAAGAGGCCCAGACCTCCCTCTCCCCAGCCACCTCCTCCAGCTCATCCGGGGGACTACCAAGGCGTTCCCAGGCCAGCCGAGAGATATAATCTCTCCAGCGTGTCCTGGGTCTGCCCCGGGGCCTCCTCCCGGTGGGACATGCCTGAAACACCTCACCCAGGAGGCGCCCAAGGGGCATCCTTGTCAGATGCCCGAACCACCTCAGCTGGCTCCTTTCGATTTGTCTATCCCAGGATATTAATATTCTTGTGTTTTCCTGTAGGATATGCCGCCGTCTTCATGGTGCCCGTGTTATCGTGTCAACCAAAGGAATATAAAACAAATGGTGGACAGTGCTGCCCGACGTGCAACAAAGGTAGGAAGAAAAGCGATGACTGCAAATGTGCACAAACCTCCAAAGCAGGTACTTTATAGAAGAAGGGAACCCCCCCCCTCCCTGAAAAGTAAATGAGTTTTACTAAAATCGCTGAGCTTGACCAGAGGCGGAGCCAGACATTTGAAACACCCGGTTTGTCGACAAAAGTCACGAGAATCGTCAGTGTGCGATGGACTTTGGCTCTTTCTTCCCCAAGTTTTCTTCCTGTTACGCCCACATCACAACCGAAAGCTTAACGCATTTTAGCTGTTTCTGTTAGATTTGTATAGTACATTAGTGAAATAAAGCCTACAAATGTATTACAGAGCAGCGTGTGATATCATGCTGTCTGCGTTACTTATCTTCGGTAAGTACTGCAACATTTTCGTGTATACGACACAGCCTTTAGCTTAAGCTAACCTTTAGCTTAGGTTGTGAGCTAACTGAGCTATTTGTCTGTCCCAGGATATTAATATTCTTGTGTTTTCCTGTAGGATATGCCGCCGTCTTCATGGTGCCCGTGTTATCGTGTCAATCAAAGGAATATAAAACAAATGATGGACGGTGCTGCCCGATGTGCAACAAAGGTAGGAAGAAAAGCGATGACTGCAAATGTGCACAACCACATATCGATAAGGGGACATTGATATTTGATCCGTTTTTGGTTTCGTCTTTGAAATGACACGATAGACAAAAGTAGACGAAATGCTGTTCACAGGACAGCAAGAGTAATCGATCTGGAGAATCTTGTCTTCGCTGTCGTTCCCCTCGTATGTTTTATTACTCCGACTTCAGTGTTTTCGCTTCATAACTAAAGTGTGCAGTTTACTTTGCGTATACTCAAATGGAGTCGCGTCAACTAGCGCCACCTGTGGCCAAGTGCCATAGCCTACAGCCAGATTAACTTGTGACACACACATCTGCACCACGTCTGAATTTGTTTCATGCACAATACGTTTGTAACTTTCAATTTTGTCTGTTTTTGCATCTTGCAAATAAACCTTTAAACTGAATGAAATTATATTATGTATTTATTTTCAGCCTACAACAGTAGAAAATGCCAGATTACATACTGAAAGTTATAGAAGTCACCACTCGTGATTTTAATTTTATTTACTATAACAAAGAAATACATCTTGGACAAATATATGACACATTAATATTTCACTAGAGTTGTAACATCACATTCTGTAAGCATAGTCTGCCTGTGTTAGGAGGATAGGACCTATCACACATCTGTTATGTAGAACACAACAGATTTAAATCAGATCATTTTAACTTTTTTCTTCTTCTTTTTTTTTTGTCTTGTTTTAAGCTTGTTTGCTTTGCAAGGAACTGGACTTAGTTTGCAACTGAACAGCTCCACTCTCCTTTCTCCCCAATCCACTCTACAACAACAGTCTCCTGCTTCCCTTTTGAAAAACTCTTACAGATTCATCCATATCCAATTTTTTTGCTACTGACTTTTCATGGACCAAGATGACCTTTTATGTAACATGGTGTGACAACAGGGGGTTAGGACCTATCACACAGCATTAACTTTCCCTTTGCGGGCTGCTGGAAGCTGGGGTGAAAAGTTTAGTTTTACTAAAATCGCTGAGCTTGACTAAATATAGATGTATTTTTTAGTTGTTAATTATCTGACGAGTCACTGTGATTTTGACGACAGATTTGCTGCTTCATTTTTCTCTGCCCTGCCTACTGAGAAACCTATCAATGGGTCATTTATATACTAACAGTGATTGGATGTTTAGCTGGGGTGAGGGGGGTTTTCTGCTGAGTTTTGTGTGAGCCTGTGCAAAACGGGAGCACGAAGGGAAAGAGTGAACAAGAGGTGAAACCATGACATTTGTGCCTTGTCCAGTGCATTTTTCAGATGCTGTAGTAAATCTTGTCCATATTCAGTTTGTGGGTAATCTGTTTTTTTTCTTTCTCAGTTTCTGAAAGTTTGATTTAATGGGGCAGGACCTTTGTTTAAGGGGCGTTGCCCCCTCTTGCCCCAGTGTCGAGCAGCCCCGTCTATTATTAGATATTTTATGTTGCATTCAGGTAATTAATATTGACTTCCTGCATCTCAGTTAAATTTAAAAGAAGAAATATGTGTTTTATTATTTTTATTATTGTTTATCACAAGCAGTAAAATGAAGCACAAGTTGCATCACCAGCAATGGGAGACAATAGATGTAAAGGCAAGAAGTCGGTAGTGACCAAGAAACCTATGAAGTACATTCCATGGTTCTTAAAACAATTAAGAAAGATTTACATGTAAATGTGTTAATAATGTCTGTTTAAACATGACTATTTACCATAATTGGGGGCAGGGATAGCTCAGTAGGTAAAGTGGTCGCCCCATGATCGGAAGGTCGGCGGTTCGAATCCACTTAACGGCTACCCTGAGGTACCCCTGAGCAAGGTACCGTCCCTACACACTGCTCCCCGGGCGCCTGCTTAGTGGGCTGCCCACTGCTTCACTGAGTGAATGGGTCAAATGCAGAGAAAAACAAGTAATTTCCCCATGGGGATCAATAAAGTATCTATTATTATTATTAATTATTTTCATGTTACTTGAAATAAAATATCTCCCTCCGCTGTTACTGCAACTTCTGCATAAGTGTCCATTTCACACTTTGGAGAGGTCAAGCATGAAAGGGACACAGTGGACCGATGTGTCTGTTACATGTTTTGCCGTGATACTGGATCAGGATACTAGGCCACATTGAATTTGTAGATCTGTAATGTTGTAGCTGCTTGACTTACTGTATATAACACCCAACACTACAACTGTAGATTCACTCTGTGTTAAATGCTAAAAGTCTGACATAAATGTTGTGTTCTGTTGAACAGGTAGAGTTGTTCAGAGAGACTGCACAGCATTTTCAGGAACTCAGTGCCGTCCTTGTGAGATGGGGACCTTTATGAACCAACCCAACAGCCTGTATAACTGTTTCCCCTGCACTGCCTGTGACACAGGTACAGTCAGATGGGAAATCCTTTGTCAAATTTAGATTGAAAAAAAAAAATAAAGCTTTCATTTAAAAGTAAATTACAGAAACATCATTTTACACTAATGTTTTTTTTTTTGTTTTTTTAGGTCGTGGTATCTTTGTCAAGCAGAACTGTACAGCAACAACTGACACAGTGTGTGACGTTTTAAATGGATATTACTGCAAAGGTTTGACAGACAGTAACAGATGTAGTTTGGCAGAGAAACATTCACAGTGTGAAGCTGGTCAGAGGATAAAAGAACCTGGTAAGAAAGTTTAAAGTCTAAGTCTATTTTTTAGATGAGCTGATAAACTGTGATTTTAAGTTTTTTGTTTTTTTTCTGGATTGTGTGTAACAACGAATGTGTTTCTTTCAGGAACCAGCAGAAGTGACACAGTGTGTGAAGACTGTCAGCCAGGCTTTTTTTCCAAGGACGGTGTGAACTGCACAGGTTGGAAAACGTAGGTCATAATTTATATTCAAATCCCTCTAAAGGTGTATTATATACTCAGCTATTGATCATCAATGTCTTAATGGAATCTCCAATATCCTGGGCTGTGTCACATCACATTGCCTGCAGTAATACCAACATAAATTTCCATGTGATTTAGTGTCATACCAGAATATCATTGCTATAGCAACACCATGTGGCCATGTTCTCTTGTTTGTATATACAGTCGTATATTATCAATTATTAATGACCAATAATAATGTGGTGTCTCAGTAGCTATGTACTGATGATAATCATGATTTTAATAATATAATATCTATAGTGTGAAAGTCACATAGTGACAAATAATTGTCTAATTATTTGTTTTACACAGTCTTGCTACATTTAGTTTAATTATTTTGCCACAAAGACAAAATAAAGGTTTAAAAAACTTTGACTGTTGACTGTGTTTCTATAGATATTGCAATAATGATTATTTACATGATCGGTGTGAAAATTGAATTATGACATGCCAATAAAATGTTAGTAAAATGTTGAGAACTGGGTAATCGCAGATAGAGTACTGGGTAGTTACAGGTAACTAGATATTAAAGTGGAACCAGCTACATTCCAGGACATGTTTGTCCTGCATATCGGAGCCACAGACAGACGACAGGACAGTTAAACAGTTAATATTGATGGTCACATTGTTACAAAGATCTTTACAGTGCAAACACAAATAAACACTGATAATAATGATTTATTTATATGTTATTTCTTTTTTGCCACAGTTGCTCTGAGAGCCAGATTAAAGTTGAAGAAGGAAGCTCAACCAGTGACGTTGTCTGTGGAAGCGCATCAAGACATCGTTATGTTTTTATTTCATCTGTTGTGCTTTCCCTAATAATAGTAATTTGCCTTGTGACAACAGGATTTGTGAAAGCAAGGTAAGTGCCATCTAACCAGTGTCAAATCTGCTCCCTCTGCACAGCACCTACAGTCACTAACATGTTAATAATTCTGTTTTTTCAGGAAACCAGATAAGAGCAGAAAACAATTGCTCAGGGACTACTGATGATGCCTTAGAATGCGGACCTCATGTTCGCCATCTCTCCTCCATTTTGCTAGCAGGATTGATGTCCTGACATCGATGATGGCTTCACCTGGTTCGGGACTCACTGTCCAACGTGGCACTTACACAGATGTGCACAGCTGTTTAATCAAAGTGATGCTGCAGTCATCTGTTGAGGGTGCTGACCAGCCATCACCAATTTCTCTGCTCGATGCTCGCTCCACAAACCACTTATTCTAAACAATCTCCTCATCAAGGAGTCTCCAGACTTCATGCTGCTGACTGAGACATCGCAGCAGGACATGGATCATGTTTATTTTGAGGAGATCTGCACAGCTGGCATTTCCGTCATTGTAACTGGGTGTCTTTGGGGATGTGGCAGAGGACTTTCTGCTGTGTACCAGCACAGACTCACATGCAGGCTGATGAAGTCAGACTCTATTTCTTCATTTAAGTTACAGATGATTAGGGTCGGTTCTTTGAAAACCTTTTATTGTATTTCAGTCTACCGACCTCCTGGTGTTGCCAGAGCATTTTCAGCTGAATTCGGTGACCTTTCATCATTTATCATTACATTGGGGAAGGTTGTAATACTGAGATATTTTAACCTTCATATCGATGGATCCTGTAACTCAGCTGCTGAGTCTTTGAACTTTAAGCACCATGTTTCTGGCTCCACACATATAAAAGGCCACACGCTGGATCTTGCTTTCTCCCTGGGTTTAAAAACAAACGATGTATGTGTGAAAAATGTACATGTGACAGACCACAGCTGTATATTTTTTAGTCTGTCATTTGTTCTGGATCCTTCACTTCATAAATTGATGATTCAAAGGTGGATTATAAATCACAATCCTGCTGAGAGGGTCCCTGCCTTTTTTGATGCCAACATGACTCATAGTGAAGTTCACACATTTATTTTGTCCTTTAACAATGAATGTAGGTCTACTTTTGACCCACTAAAAGAAAGAATTGTCCAATATTCAAGTTTTTGTACTTGGAAAAATGAACATATTTATTATTTTAGGAGGTATTTGTACAAGTTGGAACATTTGTGGAAGGCGTCCAAGCTCCAGCTTCATGAGTTACATGTTAAAGAATCAGTTTCATCAAAAAATGCCAGAATAGACTATTTTTCACATCTTATTGCTTCAGAAAAGAAAACTCTTAAAGTCTTGTTTGATACAATTAACAATTTTTTCTCTCACAATCTTCCTCACGTACCAGTGTTTTTAAAGTCTGAGTGTAATAAGTTTTTGCACTGTTTTATAATTAAGCTAATGATAAACAGGCTTAAGGACAAGTTTGGGTTTACTGGTGATTTTTTAATATGGCTCATGTCATATCTATCTGGGAGATCTTTTAGTGTTTTTATGAATTCAGTTATCTCTGAAACAACAGTTGTTCCTTCTGGGATACCTCAGGGTCTGTTTTGGGTCAGATTCCTTGTTTGCTTCATGTGCTCCCTCTGGACCGAAATATTAGAACTCATTCATGCTGTGCAGATTCTGCTAATCGTTTAAAAGAGCAGCAGAACACATTTTTGTTCAAAGCTTGGTATTTTATGTTGTATTATATCTTTATGATATGTTATCCTTTTCTTTCTTGTATAATTGTGAGGCAGTTTATTTGTAAAAAGTTACAAAATGTAAATAAATTTTACTTACTCTCCTCTCTACTACACACGATACTGTGTCCTTGTTTTACAAGAAGAATTGAAGAATTGAACTGTAAAGTACTAACATAAGTAAGGTATTAGTTTTCAGACTCCTTCAAATTTACAGTTCAGATTAAAGAAAACTTGTAATGACTTTGTCTAATCCCAAACTTCTTTCTTGCTTTGCTTACTGTGCATTTAAAAATCAGCCTTTATGATGACTTTAGAGGACGTGGAGGTGTCAGTCCATCTGTTTTTTGTTTTTTTTTGTTTGTTTGGTTTTTGCTGTTCTGTTTGTTTTGAAGCCCTGACACAATATACATGATTTTCTGCACATGCCTCACGCTAACTACATGTATTATACTGTGGAGTCCAAGTGTTCAGAGATATTTATGGTGAACTACATCAAGACTTCACCATTAATTTTAGGTCCTTTTTATTCTTCTCGAGAAAGCACCTCATTGGTCCCGTACTCATTTTACAACAAGAGAAGCTCAAATATAAACATAAGAGTCACAAACAACTACAACCACAATTCCATACAAGATGTTCAAAATATGAATAAAAACAATGCAATGATACTTACCTGTTGCTATGTAACCTGATGAGATGCTAAATGTTCCTCCAGCTGTTTCTGTTTGTTGCTACTTATTTCTTCAGCCTTCTGTTGCGCTAATCGCAATGTTTTTCAGAGCTCTTGTTGTCATTGAAATTTTTTTCTTAAAATATATATAAAATATGGGTTTATGAGATACAAAAATAGTGTATTTAACATTCATAGTTCAAAACAGTAGTCATATAATGTATGAGCACTGTTTCTGAACTATAAAAGCTGAATTTATAACCAAATTAACAGTTTATCTGTGTTCTGTTGCTCCTCGTTGGTCATCACTGCCCTGCCTCTCCTGCTCTTGGCTGTGGGAGCTCTGTCTGGTTCCTCCATCTTCCCCTGCTGGGGTGGAGGCACAGTTGTGATAGCGATGTGTGGCCTTGGGTTTTCAGCACTCATGGGGACCCCAGATGGCCGGAGTCTCCTGGTTCTTTCTTCTCTGCCTCTGGCTCTCCCTGTTTTCTCTTTCAGGCACTGCTTATAAGTGTGCTTTGCTACAGATGCAGCAATTGGAGACCAGCATGTCTGCTTGTTTCATCCCCCACCCCACTTCTTTTCTCTTTCTTTCTCTCCCTTTTTTTTGTCTGTTCCTCTTTTTCCTTCTATCTTTTGCCAACCTGGCCTTCCCCTCCTGTCTGCTCCAGCATAATATCCACACAGATAATATAAAAATAATGAATAAATACAATAAAAATATTAATAAAAGGAGCCTACAGAGAGTCCATAGTGCTTCTCTTGGAAAAGCGAATGTGTTTTGCACAACAAAGCAATCAGATCATGATTCTACAAACTACAAGTGTTTCATATGGCAGGTGTTTAAAAAAGATAATGTGCTGATCTGAATTTCCTTTAATACAAATACAACCAATAATTATAAATCATATAACAAACATAAATGCACCTATATTAGCCCAGTTTTTTCATATTTCACAAATGTTTGATTTTTTAGTGTAATCATGAACCTTAAAAAACCCCACATGCATCAATGCAACAGATTAAAAAAAGAAATCACTGAAACACTGAAAATGTTGCAGCTTCAATCCTCTTCCTCGGTCATCTCCATGGATACATCATGTTTGTTACCTGTGGGCAGAGTTAAGAAATCAGGATGGAGAACTGAAGTGGATGATTGGCGTATGTGTTGAAATCTAGATAAGAGAGTGTACCTCATTTCCTGCTGCAGCAGATCAACAGCAGCAGGATGGTAGAGATGAAGTATGGACAGAAAACCAGCAGGTGGCAGAAGAGTCTTAGTACAGACACAGAGGGTGAACGAGGACGAAGAGAGGAAGAGGCCGAAGGCTCAGTATTATCAGAGGGCGAGGGCGAGGGTGAGTGTGAGGGTGAGGGTGAAGGAGTGTACATTATGGTTGTGTGAGGGGGAGGAGGAGGCTCTGCAAGAGACATGATGAAGATGGTTCAGTTTATTATCAGGTCAGCAGTTTAGTTTATGCTTGTGAATGAATGCTTTTCTTATTTTAAGTTTCTCACTTCCTGGAGTAAAGAGAGAGAGGGATTAGTTTTAGATTTTTTTTGCCCCCGACTCATATCTTTAAAGCAGGAGTGATGTCGCTGCTCTGACCTTTGACCTTCAGCCTGCTTTGAGGAGACTGATGAATAAGAGTAGAACACGAGTAGAGCCCTTCATCAGACTGCTGCACATTATGGAGAATCCATTTTCCTTCAGGTCCATGTCCAAGTTTGTCTTTATCTCTGAAGAAATAAGATTTTTTTGCTGAACCGTTTCTGGGTTTGCAGAGCAGAGTGACATTACTTCCTGTGTTCACTGGAAGCGCTGGGATCTCCAGGATCAACTGTTTTTCTGACCAGCAGAGACAAACAGAGTCATTTAGAGACAGAGGTCCACAAAGCAGAGTCATACAGAGACAGCAAGACAGATGGGAACAGATCGCTTTCTGTACCTGAAACAGCGATGAAGACTTCATCGCTCTTCTGTCCAGATGAGTTTTCACACCAGAAACTTCCACCAGATGAGACGGAGAGATCCAGAACACAGAAGGAATTATTAAACCTTCTAAAGTCTGCAGCTGTACTACAGCCCTCAGTGGATACTCCTCTGGTCCTCTTTACTCTCCATCCATCAGCTGTCTGACCATCATCGACACAACTCAGGGAGACATAACGGTCTCCTTTGAAGAACTGCTGATGGTTTGGGCTGACATACAGAGAGACTGGAGGACAGACAGAAACACAGACGGACTAAATGTATTTGTATTATTGGTCGAGTGAATAATTTCACTTCCATAAACTCACCGGCAGAAACAGTCGGTGCAGACAGCAGCAGCACACACACACCTGCAACATGAAGACAGTCAATAAAGGTCAAAGGTCAGAGAGAGAGGAGTCTAAGTAAATTTTAGTAGTTATTCAAATTGCTGTGGGTAATAATACAGCTGTGGGATGACTATTCAATTCAGTTACATTTTATTTCTATAATACCAAAACAGTCACCTACTGACAGAGAAAACCCCAACGATCATGGTGAGGTTTTCTTCTCGAGTCATCTTTTATCCCCTCGCTTATTTATTCATTAGTTATTATTACTCTCTGGCTCCTCCACAGCATGTCTTTGGTCCCGTCTCCTTCCCACACTTGCTCATAGACGGTCATCTGATGTTTTCTCAGTATAATTGAAGAACCTTCATCTTACAATGTAAAGCACCTTGATTCTTGTGTTTTGGAGCTGTATACATTAGATTTTATTGAACTGTATTGACATTTAGTTATAATTTCACAAGAATACACTTTGCTGGCACAGTTAAGCCCTGATAACCTGACTGTTTATGTTGTACACACTTTACTAGTTTGAACTGGACATGATCAGAGAAGCACAGCAGTTTAACAGTAGAATAACAGTTTAATAATTCAGTTAAAACTTGTAAGGAAACAGAAATTAGGGTCAAGTTTTTGCATTAGATGTGGGAGTGATCAATTAAATGTTAAATGTTAAATGTTAAAGTTAAATGTTTTTTAAATCAGATAAAAAATACTCTGCAGGTTAGTGCAGGATAAACAGGTTGTTTGCTGTACTGTGTGATGGGGCACATTGGCTGTGATGCTCATGGTCTAGTATAAAGTTAGTACATATAAACAGTATACTTCCAGTGTAGAGGATGGAAACATCTGCTTTCATCTTGATAAATTTAGTTGTGTAAATCCACAAAGAGCATTAAACCTCAGAGCAGCAGCAGGTCAGCTGATCACAGCCTGTACATTTATAAAATCTACCGAATTCGCAATAGAAATTACTGTAAGTTATGATTCTTTTCTGCACACTAAGACATTTCAACCAATTTTGGGGATTTCCCACCTGCTGTATCTCACTTTAACCCCTGACGGTACACAATTTCTGTTTAGAGGCAAAGTCACCCTCTACAAAGTAGGAACAGAAAACAGAGCAAATTTTTATTTTCATGTTCACCTTAACTGACTCAAGCTGAGAATATTTATTAGAATTAAAATTTAGACTAAAATAAAGTTTGTATTCCCATCTACTAATATTATTTTATTATTACCTTAACATAGCAAGGTTTGGTTAGCTTTGCAGAACAATAGCTCTAAAAAGAAAGTGTATTTTTTCACTTTAACTTGAGTAAAGAAGTTGAATCAGTGTTTCAGCTTTTACTTGAATATGTTTCAACACCAGTATCTGTACTTCTACTTAAGTACAGAATGTCTCTACTTTTGCCACCTCTGGTCACTTTCATAATCTCAAAAATAGATTCATTTTTACTGACTTTTTTCCTTTTTTAGCAGGGGCGTAATTTCCATGGGGGTTAGGGGGGTTATGACCCCCCAATAATCAGACCCAACCAATATAACACCCCCAATAAAATTATGAATTATCTTGCATAAATAGGCTGTTGATTTTCTTTACTCGTTTCAGGTATTACCAGCAAAATAGTTGCATGTTTAATCATCTAGGAATTTACCCAGATTTATGTTCAGCACAAAGTTATGCCGATGTTTTTGAGTGTGCACTGTGGTTTCCATTAGCTTCTGTTGTTTGCTAACATCTTTCTTTATTATTTCTTTCAGTTATCTAAAATCTTTCATATCTAGGTTTAATTAACTGTAAAAAGCTTGATGTTAAAAGTCTTCAGAAAGTCCTGACCCTTGTCTTAGATAAGCTTCTTCCCTGTCGGTGAAACCTTACCAAATCCGATTCACATGTTTTCTGTTTTTTTCCTTAAGGCCAAACTTTCACTTCATTTTTTTCAGACCTTAAATCTTTC